GAACGCCCTCCGGTCCGCGGCAGTGAAGTGTGGCCACCGCCCAGCCCAGGGCCGGGGAGGGACACCACCTTGCGTCCTCGGGGCGCAAGTCACCTGGGGGTTGGGGGCAGCAGGGCAGGGCCTGCTCGTGCTCGCTACACAAGTCGCAGCTCTTCCCGAAGGTGTGCAGGGACCCAGGGCAGCGGGGTAAGCTCAGCAGGTGTGGCCCCACTGCACTCTGATCTGTGACTGGTTCCTGGGTCTGGTCGTCCCAGGGGCGCGGGGCTCGCGGGGCCTGCCTGCGAGTGGCACCTGGGCCTGGGTGTGCACGGAGCGGCGCAAGCCCTGTCCTGCGGCCTCACGCACCTGCTCCAGGTCGTGCAGCGCCCTCTTCCCTCTGCTGGTTGGCACACACGGCCCTGGTCGGCCTGTCCGGGGGACCTCAGAGCGCTTGGCGGGGATCTGTGACGTTCAGGAAGCGGGGCAGGTGGATGCAGAAGAGGAGGACGCCAGAGGCGGATGTGCCTCCCCAACAGCAGTTGGAACCGGGAGGGGGGCAGGGGTGCTTCGAGACGCGCTCTGCAAGGCTACGGCCCCCCGCCCCGCGGCCTCCATGATGTGACCTGTTGGGAAAGGCGTGTAGGGACCCCGTGTGCATGTAGGGGCACGGTAGGGGTTAGGGTGTCCGGGGGTCCCCGCTCCGGGCCCCGTGCGGGTGTCCGGGGGACCCTATGTGGGCCCGTCTTCTGTGCTTGCCGCCCACAGCAGAACCTCACTCTCAGTTGCATCCGGCTCAGGTCACGATCTCACGGTTCGTGAGTTCGAGCCCCGCGTGGGGCTCTGGTTGACAGCTCAGAATCTGGATCCTGCTTTGGATTGTGTGTCTCCTCTGTGTCTGCCCCTCCCCTGCTCGTAAGCTTGCTGGCCGTCCCCCCTCTCCATGTCTGTGTGTGTGTGTCTCCCTCTCTCTCTCTCAAAAATAAGTAAACTGCGAAAAATTCTGAAAAAGAAGTTACACTGTGTGTTCTACATAACCTACATCATATTCTACGTGATTTTCCTCGTGCAGGGTGGCGGGAAAGCTATAAAATCCTGCCTCTTTCCCGCGCCCCGTTGGTGAACAGGCGGAGTCACAGGACCCTCTCCCCTTTGTCTTCTGGGCTCTTAAGGGCAGAGACGGGCTGTGGCAGGGCCGACCCGTGTTTTCGGCTGGATTTCAGGGAGGGCGCAGCCGCTCTGGGCTCCCGGGCACCAGCAGGGCCGCGGAGCGAGCTTGGAACAGGCTGTCTGGTGTCGGGGACAGGGAGCGCCTGTGCCAGCCCTCCCCGCCTGTGCTCAGGAACTGGCGGCTCCCCAGGTCACTTCACGTGTCTGCCCGGAGGCCCTGTGCACCCCACTCCCGAAACCAGCAGGGCTGTCCCCCAGATCTCGCCTTCCCAACCTGTTTGCTCGCCGCGGGACAGGACGGGACGGGGCCGTGCGGGGAGCTGGCTCCCGCCAGGCGCTCCCTGCCGCGCGGCCGGCCACCAGCCACCAGCCACCGGCCCGCTGGGAGGAGCAGCAGGGCGCCCCCTCCCCCTCCCGCGGCCATGTGCCCTCCTCAGCCTGTGGAATGCGGGCGGCCCCGGGCCGGCCCCCAGAGCGCCTGGCCGGCCACGCATGGAGCGCCCTGAGCCCGGCCGCCCAGACCGTCCCACCGGGCGCAGCCG